AAAAATCGGTATCGGTATCGGCCTTCAAAAACCTGTATCGGTCGATCTCTACTGTTAATCACAATTCGTTAAGTGGTGCTTTTTTCCCATCCTGTTKATTTTTAACTCAATCTAGCATCATCCTGCAGTACCAGCAGCCGGTGGCCAAAACAGAAAGCTAACATCTGGTGGCAGCGCTGTGCTGTAAGCACAGAAATAATTGTTTTATTATGCTGTCCCCCGAGACAAAGCAAATTAACTCATTATTCAGGCCATTTTTTCAGCTGGTATTGTGATTTTTGTACAGTTGAACAAGTTGGCCTGTTGAACAGCTAAAAAAATACACCAGTACATTGATTATGATGTGTTTACATAGTAAGTTACACTAAAAACACGCTCTCAGTTGGCAGTTAATCAGGTACAAGTAGCTAAAACGTCTGTCAGGAGCTGTCAGGGTGTAGAGCATTACACAGAGAAGTGTGTCTGAAATTTAACCATTTTTCACTGTTAAAAATCAAGTGGACAAAATAGTTAAAGTTTATTCAAATGCATTCAGTTTTACTCATTCATAGAGCATAAATTCACAACAAAAGTACTTTTTCAAATAAAATCCACTTAAGCAGTTTTTTTAACTCAAACCATCAAAGAGGGGTGTCCCGACACAGCTTGTTCACTTCTGATACGATAACGATGCTGCAGCCTTGAGTACTGGCCCATACTGAAATCGACCCCATACTAGATATTAGAACGAATCATATATTTTAATTACTTTTTTTGTATTGAAAAAGTCTTCATCAAGTCAAACAGTAAATGATCATACGATAAAGACTGGTCCCATTGATAATTAACTGATGAGTTACATAATTTAACTTGAACATAAGAATATTGTACAATTAAAAACAACAAATAAATAATAAAAAAGAAAACCCTGAAAATTTAGGCTGGATCCAAAATGTTGCTGGATAGAAATCCTGAGGACCCCTGAAATAAACCACTTGTATTGGAGTTCTAATATCCGAGATTTTAGATGCAGGCCAATATAATCCAATATTCATTTTTTGGTTTATATCGGATGAATATCAGATATTGATAATGGATCTGGACACCCCTACCACCAAATACTGTAAATTTGTCAATAAACAGCCAATTTAACTACAAATTATAGTCAACATGTGGGCACACAGTTTAATTATTGAAATGTTAATATTTAAATGAAAATATAATTAAATTAAATATAATATAACTAGCATTCCTTGACTGATTCATATCGCCCACCACAGTTTCCTGCAAAAGTTTAAAGCAAAGATCTTGTGGGATCTGTTTGCACTCATGGTATGTGTTGTGAATGACTCTCAGCGACTACCACACCAAACTGTAGCTCATTATCTGTAGAAATGACTGTGTTATAGCCGTTAGTGTGTTGGTTAAGGTCATATGGTTGCAGCAGCCATCTTGAATTGTGTTGACTTGAACAGTTAATTAGTTGTAGATGTTCATTCAATGATTCTTTTCTGAGTTTTAGAAGTTATTTCTGAATTTACAACATAGTAAATAAATATGCTTTTACTTCAAATTGTTTTAACATTTCACCCAGCATCATGATGTTTGAATTTTGCAWAGTAATGGTTTTCTCACATATAAAAAGTCTAGTCACGCTTCGAGTTTCCCATTACCAGTATCTGTTAAGCTACCCTGTAATAAAGCTTGCACATGGGCCTAATGATGATGTAACTGAAGAGTGGCCCTGCTTGTTTGGAAGTAGCTGTGTTTACAGACCTTTGAATTAATGCAGAGCCCGTAAACTGTCCGGCGGTGTATCGTCAATTGTCAACCTAAATAAGCGGCTTGCGAACATGTGGGTATAAATACATAACAGCAACATGATTTATTGTTCAGTCAAAGTGCTCACTTTGTTATTTTCCCTCCAAGTCCTGATTGCTGCATCCTGAAGGCTATTTGGGTTGGGAAACGGTTGACTCGACAATTAAAGCGTTTGTGTTCACTGCTGGACCACCAGCTGGCATTTCATTCACCAGGAGGGAGGGGAACCTTTAACAGAGCAAATGAGAAGTGTGTGTGTGTGAGCACGAGAGAGAGGGGACCACAACTGTTGGAGCCCCACGGAGGTAGCGATCAGAGAAAGAAAAAAGACAGGACACTTTATTTTGGAGTTGGAAGGGGATGGGCGTGACGGCACTTTTTGGGTAACCAAAACTATGTCTGTAGGGAAAAAAGTCTTCCAAAGATAACCGCCGAGAAGACTTGCTTCTTTTTTTTCTGCCGGAGGAGGAAGGGGGTCTCTTGGCTTGTCGAGTGGAAAATAATAGACAAAGGTTGTTTTGGAAGGGAACGCCGATCTGTCATTCTGTCATGATGTTAGACAGAACTGGTCTTTTACTGCTGGATAAGTACAGGATTCTACATCACCATAAAGAAGCCACAACAAACTGCTTAATTGGGCAAAATCATGTTGGCAAACAAACACACAGAGCTCTGGCAATATAAAGTGAAGAGGTCGGAACCACTTTATCATCTGAGCTATACAAAAACCTAAACTAATCGGTCACCAAACCAAAATCTCACAAGCTCAGAACGAAAATAACTCGTATCTGACAGAAAACGAGGAAAAAACAAACATATGAATATAATAAGTACATACCAGTTTGCTTTCAAACAGCTTGTGATAGGTCCACAGCACCATCATAAAATGTAAGGCCACATAAACTCGTAAAGACAGAGACCAGCTGGGATCATGAGGCACTTCCTTTCCAGTTACCTGCGCAGGCAAAACAAACAGGTTTAATTACCCAAACCCATTTTCTCGTCACTAATTTATCTCTCATGGATGCTGTACATTTGTGGTCAACGTAAACTCACTTGTTTGTGTATTTCCTGTCTTAAAAGACTATCAAAGCTAAAAGTCAGAAAGTAAAGTGCTCACGCTCAACAGCAGAAGTTAGAAATAATCAAATGTGGGATTTGGGTCAAGTGTCAATCGTGGGATAAACAAAGACAGCAACAACTTTCATGTAGTTCTGATTCTCAAGGGCCACTATCCCGTTGTATAACTTGTTTTCCTGCTCCAACACACCTGATTGAGTGATTGAATCAGCTCTTCAGTTTCTGTTAATCACCCTTTTATTTAAATCAGGTGTGCTGGAGACGAGAAACCTCTAACACATGCAGGAGAGCGGCCATCAAGTGTGAAAATGTGAGAAACCTGAGCCTCTTGTTCCCCTTCGCTCCAATTTTAAATATTTTCTTTCCCCCAAAAAACAACAAAAAAAAAAAAAAAAAAAAAATCATCATCAAGCAGTCCTTTGATAAAAGTATTCTGGTGACTTTTTACATTTTTCCCCAAGTGTAAAATCTCTGTTCTGGCTTTAAACGGCCAAATTAGCTGCAAAAACACAAGAGGAGGTTTTTTTTTTCTTTTAGCTTGTAGAACTGAATCTGTGACACCAAAAGCCTTATTTCAAAGCAAACCACTGAAGCGTTCAGCTGGAACCTTTTGTTTCTTTCTGCTCAAACACACACACATTCACACTTTACTGCATGCGGTTTTATTCCTGCAAACGATGCTTAAAGTCAGTAAAACTCAACTTATTATGATGCCTCAACAAAGGCTTCGCAGCTCTCATTTCATGTGGCAGTTTCTTGTAAAACTTGCAAAATATATGAATCCTTCAAGAAGGAATGCTCTGAGTCATTCTGGCCTGTGTTTTTGTGTCAATATAATTTGTAACAAAGTCTTTCTTTTCGGGTCAGGAACGATGCTAACCTTAGGATTGTCCACGTGGTCGCCGAGCCGAGCTTTCCCAGGTTTCCAGCTAGGACCTTTGATGAAAGTTGACAATTTGTCACCGATGGTTTTGTAAGTGTTGGACTTCTTCCATAAAAACATATAGTAGTGCAACTACGAGAGTGGGGGAGAAAACAAAACAAAAAAAAAACAAGTTAGATAAATAAACAAACATTTAAGCTGATGACTGTTAACCAGGCAATAGCTGCAATAATTAATCTTGAGTAGCAGCGTTTCTGCCTTTATTAGACAGAGCATTGCTCATGCTGGACCCTGCCAGTGATGAGGGCAGCAGAGGTAATACCAACATTCACCAGGTATTTTATTTTATTGGCCTCTTTCACCTCAGTTGGGCAGTTTGTTTGGAGTAGAGTAATAATGTTATGGTTACATAATGGATCCTTAGCCAGCGAAGGAAACGTGAGCTCAAACGTCATCTACGAGAGGTGCCGGTTAGTAGACCTGGTTATGTTGTTCCACTGATTGCGGCAGTGACGGAAAACTAACCTGAACATAGAGGATTTCAAACGTGTTGATGGGGAAAACCAAACCATATATGACTTTATCTGACTCTGAAGCAAAGGTACCTGAAAAACAAAAAAAAGGTTCAACTCTGGCAGAAAGCACCACACTGTGAAACTCAGATGACTATTTCTTACCAAATAATCTGTCCCAGATAATGAGAATTCCTCCGTAGTTCTTGTCGATGCAATAATGGTTCCTCCCTGTTGGAATTACACCACAGACTGTAAAAGTTCTGTTACTGATAGTGGAATTTTACCACAAAAGTTGTTAAATCTGCCCAAGTAGAATTAACTGGATAAAATAAAACTAAAAATAACCATACGCCTCAAATAATTATTAACCTTTAAGTTTTTATTGTGTTTATTCACCACAAAAACTAAATATATATTCACGTCTTTAAATTCATCTCACCGTGATGAACTCTGTGATGTTTAGGGGTATTGAAGACCCACTCCAGAGGTCCAAGGTCACTGATCAACTAAATAAAACAAAACAACAGTACGATAAAATCACTGTATTTTACCTTACGCTGGCGTAAAACACCTTCTGCAGTCAAATGTATAAAAGTTCTGCCTAAACATTGAGTTTGAAGGAGTTCTGTGCATGTTCAGAAACATATTAAGCGTTGTCGGCAGGATTCAAACCTGCACGGGGAGACCCCATTGGGTTTCTAGTCCATCGCCTTAACCACTCGGCCACGACAACCCGTTGCATTGTGGGTGTGTTGCTATCAATCTGAACAAAGGACGTACCACAGAGGAGTTCTTGCTTCTTTTATATTATTTTAATTCAGCCGCTTTGACAAGGAACGTCAGTAGGTTGTCTCAGACTTTAACTGTTTGATTGATGTGAAACCATCCTATGAGGAATTCCACCCAACAGAATGACAGTTAAAAGAGTGACGTTACAGTATATTTGTTGGGGAACTTGTTTTATTTCACAACAATCCCCCGAGAATGTTAGCTTGTTCAAACAAGCTGTATGACAACAGGGCTCAACCACTTCTAAAAACTCCTAAAAAAATTAAAACGTAAYTTAAAATTATTGTAATGAAATTGTTTTTGTAATTTCTGATTAAAAACTAGAAAATATAATAAATGTTGACTTTTTTTCTTTCATAATTATTTTACAAAAATACCTTATTTGTCTAAAAATGCAAGAGATCTACTAAGGCTGTGTATTTGCAAGAATTTGGRGATACGATATTTATCGTGACACAGGGGCCATGATTCGATACATCACAATACTGTAAGTAAGGCAATATAATGCCATTTTTTCAAAATGGTTATTTTATAAAACTTGCCAAGTATTTGAAAAAATCATATATCGTCCATGTTTTCAATGGTTAGGCCAAATGTGCCACTAAACATTTTGATAATATATTTGTGGCAGCTTTTAGATTTATAATAATAATGTATTATGAAAATATGATAATCCACCACCCCAACAATAGCCTGTTTTTTGTGCTAAATTTCAGTAAACAGGTTCAATGAAGCTGTTACTGCCTGTGTTTCTGTCACAGTGGTCCTTTCAACTAAGGGGTGATGCAACATTTAGCCACTTCAGTATCGTCCCTCAGGGCTCTAGACAAATGCCTGTGTGCCYGTTTGTGACGGCTCTGACTGCAAACTCCAGTCCTGTACTGGACACTTCAATTTGGCTTAAAATACAGGAGAATCCGGCTAATACAGGAAAGTTGGTAACTCTATCTTTAGCTTTAAAGGCAACAGGTGTTGGTCTAATCTGCTCAGATTCAGCCATCAGTACTTAGTGCTAACATTTACTCATAATGCTAACGTTTGAGCTAGCATTATGCACTCACTGACTTTTGCCAACTAGCGGTCAGAAGCTAAATTACAACATATGAATGAACCACTGGCATGAAAGTTTACAGTTTCAGACTTAATTAAAAACTGATCCAGTGCTTTACAGAATCAATACAGTATCGGGAAATTAAATATCGTGATATTTCAAGGTATCGATATTTTCTTACGAAATCTACAAAAATTTATTTCACCCATTTATCTACAAAAAYGCATTTTTTTTGGTCAGATACTGTGGTTTATCAGCAGAGTCCATTTTTCTGTTTCTGTTTGAGCTCAAATCTTTGAATGGTTGACATCAGTACTTCAGACTTCCGTGTGGAGAAATGTGCACGGCTGGACAGAGTTTCTCAGTGATTCATTATTTCCATGTAATGACTAGTGTCTGGCAGCAGAGCGTGAGACTTTATCTGAATGAAAGGGGTCTCCACCACTTTACATACAGCTCTGAAGCTGCAGCCAATAGCGTGTCAGTAAATTACATGACATCAAGAAAAGAAAAAGAAGCCTATAAAAAAGGCATAAATTACATCCTCTCAGAAAATTGTAACTATTACGACTGCTTTCACTAATAGCGCACTAAAAGATGGAGGGTGTTCCAAATCCATTCATTCCCTGTAACGATGGTGGGATTGTAAAAGTGATACTCTCAGACACTTTAAAGGGAGACAAAGTGCTTATGCTTCTGTTTGGAATCTTTCATAAAATCTCATTATTTTTTATTGAATGCAGGTTCCACTGAAACACAGACTACAAAATTTGACATTACCTACAAATTAGCTATGGCATAAGGAGACAGATGGCTTTAAAATACTTTATTTTATTTGTTAAAGTTTAATGGTAACGGTGAAAGGACAGATTCATAGAGTTAGTGCTGCATGGTGGTTAATGCAAGTCAATAATATTTCAGAATATTTATATCAGTGTATTTAAAAATTAGATAATTGGTTTTACTGCTTTGATTAAATTCAAATGTAATGTCTTTTATTGGAAGGTTTTAGTGACTTTGTTCAAGACATAAAAATATGAGAGTACTGCGTCCTTCAAAGTAGGCTTAGGTCATCCCATACAATACAATAATACGTAATATACAGATTTTAAAACTGCTCTTATATTATAATATGCTTATTTATTGCTTTAAGGAAAATTACAAAACTCAAATGATGGTTTTTATTTATAATCTCTGTAACAAATGCTAAAAGACAAAATGTTTTATATTTTAAAACTCGAGGACCATTACATTGTTCCTGTGCTGATAAGTTAAAGAATCAGTAGCATGGGGTCGAATCATTACCTCAGTGTGAATCCAGAATTGATAGAGCAGATTTAGCTGTATGTGAACGGCAAAGATGGATGGAGGAACAACCAGAGCTATAGGCAGGTAGAAAATCTGAAAATAAAAACAAGAGCAGAATAAAAATCTCCTACAAATGTTTCATAAAATAGCCTGGAATATTTACAAATACTGTCAATTTGTTCAATGACCTGAACTAATTCTGTTTGAAAGAAAGAAAATAGCCACAGGGTAATTAGTAATAGATTTGGATCCACACAGAAAACTCCATATTCTTTATTTATCAGTGCTTCTTTTAATATATTACAAAAATCTAAGAAATTGTCAGGGTCAAGTTGGAAACAGATTTAAAAGGTGAAGTAAAAATCTTATGTTTAAATGGATTTTCTGATAGGAGGCAGATTAAGAGTATCCATGGAAAATGTGCTTAATCTGAGCATATAGGGTAGTTTCTTCAAAAGTTTAATTTTTTACAATTTTATCAAAACAATTGCGCTAGAATTCAGCTAATGTTCAGTATTCTGTTCTGTATTCACATGTTTAACAGAAGTACATCTCACTCATCTGTCAGTACTTGTAAAAAGACAAAACACTCTGAAAGTACTCTTACTGTTTCCAAACTCCTCCCAGTATTGTGTGAAGTCTCGCAGGACCATAACCGACCCAAAGTGGTGATTATTTGTATTATTTTCGTCCGATTCAATCTATGCATCATGTAAATCTTGCGAAACAAAATGCACACCTAGCATGTGTGTGAATACAGGATCCCAGCTGCTCACTGAGGCTTGCTGCACATTACTCAAACACGGGAGTTGGTTAAAGGCTTTTACTGCCTGCAGGCTCAGAGCTCCAGTGAGTACTTACAACAGCAGTTCGGTGTGAGGAATCGACTCCAAACAAATACAACCAATGTGATTATTGTAATGAAGCAACTGAGTGCCTCACTGATTTGCTTTTAATAGACAACAATGAAGTTTTATGGCACAGAAGAATGATATATACACGGATTTTGCAACACAAATAACGCTTCTTCATGTGCTATATTTATTAAACATTCTCTGTTATTGCTGTGATTCGCRGAGTTGTACTTTGAGAGAATTAATGTCTTACCCATGAGGTAAACGGCTGAGTGAGGGACTGTCTGAGGGCGGTGGTCAGGTTGTAGTACTCTGAACTGTGGTGAACTTGGTGAGCGGCCCAAAGGAAGGCTACCTCTGGAGAAAGAAAATAAATCTGTCAAAAGGGCTGATAGCAGCCATATAAAATTCTACACAATATTCATGTACAGGTCTTACAAAGACTGATTTGATGCTTGATATCTCCTGAAAAGTGATTCAGTTAAAATTAAGTAAGGGCAGTAGGTTTACAAAGAAATGCAAAATTACTATGGACAGATTAGTTGGTACTTTTAAATGAGTAAAAGTCCTTAAGTTCATGAAAGAAGTTTTGGAAGACAGTTTGGTGAAGATTAGGTCTTATCAGCCCAAAGTCACAGCAGTTGTGTTATTTTTTTATTATGGTAAATGGTCTGAACTTATATAGCACTTTATCAAGTCCCTCCAGACTCCAAAGTGCTTTACACTTATATTCACCCATTCACACTCTGATGATGGTAAGCTACATTGTAGCCACAGCTYCCCTGGGGCACACTGACAGAAGCGAGGCTGCCATGCACTGGTGCCACCGAACCCTCTTTCCACCATCAGTAGGCAAGGTGGGTGAAGTGTCTTGCCCAAGGACACAGCGACTGTAACAGCTGGACCAGAGGATCGAACCGGCGACCTTCCGGTTCCAGGACAACTCCCCTAACCACTCCGCCACATATTATTTTTATTGTAGAGGCAGCCTACCAATAAATTTATGTATAAATCTTTTAAATGAAATCAAGTGATGTGTACCAACAGTCAGCTCTYCTACTTCACTAAATTTTACAAATTCATGAAAAAATATTCGTCATTATCCAACTCTCAAATATGAGTTCAGAGCCAAAAGGTCAAGTTCAATGGCAGTAATGCAACTAGTAGAAAATATAGCAAATGCCAATAATAAAAAAAGAATATGCAGGGTTGTCTTAGAATTTTAAAAAAAGCATTTGATAGTGTAGATATGAATTACTGTGTTTTAGGAATAGCACAATATTGGATGAAAAGTATGAAAAGTACATAAATTTGTACAAAAAATGTAAATTCTGATTTACTGACCTGTGGAGTACCACAAGGGTTGGTGCTGGGTCCTAAACTTTTTTTTTTTTTACTGCAGTGTATCTCAATAAAAATTTACTTTGTTTGCTGATGATAATTGTTACTACTCTGGTAACAGTTTGGAGCAGCTTCTGAGTGAGTTTGAAATAGAATTAAAAGTATTAAAGAAATGGTACAACAACAACAAAAAAAACTAAATAATGGCAAAATAAAATTTGCAATATTTAGTAAACAAAAAAAGATGCTAAACTCATGATAAAAACTATTTAAATAGAACAAGTGTGTGAAATTAAATTTTTGGGAGTGATGATTACAAACTGCATTGGAAGGCTCATATTGACAACGTAAAAGCTAAAATGTCAAAAACTATTGCAATATAAAATAAAATAGAATGTTTTCTGATTATAAAATACCTTTAAATGTTATACTGTTACTTAATACTTCCAMACATAAATAACTGTGTTGATATCTGGGGAAATCATTATAAAACCAATAAAAAACCTATTTCTTACATTGCATATTTTAAAGTTTCATGACTTAGTAGAGCTTAGAACGGCATTGGCGAAGTACAAAGCATATACTAAACACCTTCCATGTTATATATAGAACTGGTTTCAACTTACAYAAACAGAATAATAGAAGAATAGAATAGAAACAGTCTTTATTGTCCCGCGCAGRGAAATTCAGGTGTAGTAGCAGCAGCAGATACATACATCAATCCACAGAAACAGTATATTGCTATGTGACATRATCAAATGGAGCAATAATAGTAGAAATTAAAGACAGTAACAGTAAAAAATTAACATTGATCAAAATTAAAGGAAAGAATAATAATTACTGTAARGGGCTATTGAGATGAAATTGGATAAAACGAAAATAAGGCAAGATACTGTACAGAAAAATARAAATTACAGGAAAAACCAGTCATGACAGACTCATGATCCGAGAGGGGTGTGCAAAGTGAGTCATAGTTTGTGCAAGCTGAATCGAACTCAGGGGTGTGCAAATTAAAACTAACAAACTAGGAATTAAAAAAGAGGTTTGTTTAAACAAACAAATACACACCTTTACACACAAGTGGAGTCATTTTTAACACCACCTCTGACCAGCTGTGTAAAACAGAAAAAAACAAACAAAAAAAAAACCCAGAGGCTTCAGATTAGACGGCCATTGTAAGGCTAGTGTAAGGGTTTTGGGAATATTATGAGTACAGGAATATTTGGCTACAGTTTTGTTAGCATCCAGTCTGATGTCCCAGTGCTCCAGTTTACATTCCTCTGCTGTGTTGTGATACTTGCTACATTAATATCTGTGTTACACTTCATTTTAACATCCAAAAGGAACATGCTTGTTAAATTTCACTGGATCTCCGAGTCGTTTCCGGACCACCCCGTCTGGTCTGTGCTTTTTGGCACCTACCATCCACTCCTGCTTCTGCTGCCTTGTAAGAAAGAATTTCAGCCTTTAAATACTGCAGAACCACAAAACCTGATCAGTCAGTAACTCATATTGATGCATTTGTACTAGAAGAAGTCTAATGTTTATCTTTTTTCTTGAAATCTCCAGTAGCATCTGGCCACTCTTGATGTGCAAATCATAATTAGGTGGTGGATATYGGGGTGTAACGATCAGAGTTTTCTGGCCGATCACCTTCCTTTATAAAGATTGAGCTGCCAATTCTGATTTTGGCCAATACTAATTTTGCTTTGACACTGTCAGGTGTTATAAGGCCATAATACACCTTCGATGTTCTAATCTTGTTTTATTGGGAAAAACACCTGAAACAATACAAACTTGTTTTAACTGGACCTTAAATAGAGCTCACAGCAGAGCAAAAGGAGATTTTCAGACCTTTGCTGAGGTAGATAAGATCAGTGGATAAGATCAGCCTCTAAGTATTGATCAACTTCCGATCTCCCAAAACTATCCTTAAATCATTAAAGTCATAGTCTTTTTATTTTGTGGTAAATATATACTTGTTTGACCGGCAAACTCTGCATAAGAATTCATACCTGAACCTTTTGTGAAAGCACAAATGGCAAAATAAAACAGAATAAATACACACATATTTTGCATCAGTGGTTTAGCTTAGCACATATGCTGAAAACACGCAACTTGTAACAAAACAAGTTTAAATTTCAACAGGACAAAAGTCAAATGTGGTATGATGCAAGTGTTCGAGTCTCTCACAAATTTACAGGATCTGCCAACAAATTTGCTTCTTATTACAGTGACATGGGATCATTGCTGAAGAATCTCTCCACGCAACATCAACACAAAACCAAATCTTTCACTATTGTAATTAACTCCATGTACTCTGAAAAGATCAGTCAAACTCCAAACCCCGAACACCTCCTTTTTTCTCTCTTTAATAAACTTGTGAGCTGCATCCCGTCCAGCGGTCATAAAATCCAGTGTTGCGGCTCCGCGACACCTGAACAAACACACCACTGAGGACTGAAGGTGAGTGTTGTGAAAGCAGAGCTCTAAATGGGCTGCATTTATTATATAGCAGAAGTGTCATAATTTGTCTGTTCACGGTTTTAATAAGCAAAGCTGAGGAGGAATTCCTCGAGTGTTTGAGGCGCCTCGAAGCTACTGCTTCCATGCAACACTTCACACCTTCCTCAGGTAACAGAGTTATTGCTGAATTTTAGCTGGTGTGAGGGGATAAAAGTCACACTGAATGTTTTTGGAAGTCTAACAAATGGTTTTAAGCAGCCTTTTTTTTTCCTTTTTAATAAACAAGGTTGTTTCAAACTTTATTAGACCTTTTAGTGCTGACAAAACTCTAAATGCAAAGCCGAGGTCTGATGAGGGAAAAAGGGAGTAAACTGATTAACTACAGCAGCCGAGCGCAAAAATTATGGTATTTCTTCCGTTCTGAACCATGGGGGATTCAAAGATGAATTGTACTGCTATGGGACATATCGAGAGGATAATCCAGTCTTTGTTTAATTTCAGCAGCCTACGGCATTTGCYATTTTTCTTCTCAGAGGAGTCATGCTTGGCAGGGTCCAGGACCAAGGGCGGTTAAGATTGATGCCTGTTGTCATTGTTAGGAAGTTGGAGCTGCTAGGCTTCACTGCAAGTCCATGTCCTCATCTCTGTACTCGGTGGGACACTGCATAGTTTGGCAAGGCCTATTCAGGAGGGAAGCCCTGTTAATGGTGAGAACCAATGCCACAGACCCCACATTCTCAGCAAGAACAAAGAAAGGTCGAATACGGTACTTCCATCTGGTCACTGGTCAGCTTTAACTTATGATTCCTCCTCAATAACAAGGATGGGTGCGTGCTAATCAGTTGGGGACATTTATTGCCCTTTGAAAATACTTTAAAAATATTAGTTAGAGATTGCTTGTAAAGTCTCAGCAAATCAGTAGCAGCCTACATGTTACAACTAGCTAGCAGTTGGACTAATTAATGCTCAAGAGCTTTTCGAAAAAACGTCTGTAAGTTTTAGTTGAATTAAACCATGTTAAGGTGACAACATCAATACTAGGCCTGTCACAATAAGTAAACCAATTAATTGCACGATAAATTCAAAGGTTGATAATTTTCATTTACCTCAGTGATTCCCAACCAGGGGTACATGTACTCATTGGGGTACACAAGCATATTACAGGGGGTATGTGTAAAAAATAAAAATAGGACTGAGATATGTAGGGCCCTATGATTTCCGCAATGTGGAAAATGCAAACAGAATCACGAAATTGACACAAAATGGAATCCTGTATAAAARGCGGAATCTCACGGAATTTGCTCATTTGGGTTATTTGATGTATTTTGGACGCTGATGCTTCCTGCACCTGCCATTACCTGGTTTATTTATTTAATTACTTATTCACTTTCAAGGCAACTTATTTATCTTTATGTTTAATTTGAGTTGGAAAAAAAGCCTGAGAATTAAACATTCTAGGGGGTTAAATAAATAATTTTCAATTAATAATCAGTTGTAGTGCATTATAGTTATGGAGAATCATCATTACGTTTGACAGAGGGGATACTAGT